GTCTCTCTCTCTGTACCTGTTGTTCCTGTCAGTCAGTGTGCTGTACAGTGTCTCTCTCTGTACCTGCTGCCCTCCCTGTCGCTCAGTGTGCTGTACAGCTGGAGGGTCTGGGCTTTGTGCTGCTCTAGCAGGCTCTCCCTCTGCTCTTCCGCAGTCTGAAGGAACTTCTTCTCAAAGTCCTGCACCTCCAGCAACAGACTGTACAGCTAGACAAATAGGAAGTTAGAAAGGAAGGAAAGGTGTGAGATAGGGATGATTAAGAAGAAATAAGGTGAGAGATGAATAGAGGATACAGAGAGATGAGTAGATGGCAACAAAGGAGAGGGAGGAAAAGAAGGGATTTATTTTTTAATGGATATAAGAAATGTTTATAATATATATATATTTAGATCATTAGATCTGGTCCCAAAGAGACCAGAATAAATACTGCACAGGACAAACACAGGTGTGTGCACATTGGCTAAAACAAGTACATGCAGAGTGACAAACAGCATATAAGTGCTGTACAGTATCACCACTCCCCTCACCTTCTCCACTGTGTAGAGAATCTGTCGCCTCTTGTTCCACACCTGCTTCTCTCTCTTCTCCTGCAAGACAAGCATGATTTACAGCAACAGGAGGATAGATAGGCAGAGGACCGACAGCAACAGGAGGATGTACAGTCAGACAGAGAGAGGACCAACAGTGACAAGAGGAGAGAGAAGACAGAGGACAGACAGAGAATAGTACTAGGAAGACATAGTGTTTAACAGAAAAAAATAAAAAATGGGTAGAGATAGACAGGCCCATAGATTTAGAGGGAAAGAGAAGACACAAGACACAGATAGAGGATAACATCGAAGACCGATAGACACCTCATCATCGGAGCGACTCGTGACCACAGCGTCAATCATCTTGCGAGGGTTATTAACACTGGAGACTGTGAGCTTCCCGAGAGAGCCTGCAAACTGCACTGCAGAGAGAGACAGAGAGGGGTCCGTTCAGCGCCGGTACAGTGGGGTTTGAGGAAGAAAACACTTTCTTTCCTTCCCCCTGGCTCTCGTACGCATTTGGCTAGTATCCAGGATTTCAGTGTCCAGCTGTAACTGAGAAACACGTCTACTATGTCTTAAAGACTTTGTGTTTGTAACTCTGTGTTACATGTGTATTTCAAGGAGGCAGAAGTGCAATTTAAGAAAAGGATGTTCTTCTGTTGAACACAGGCTTGACGTGATTAAAACAAATCTTTCATTTCAGGATGGTGGGACAGTGGTGCAGTGGTTAGCTTTGATGCCTCGCAGTGTTGGGGCCACAGAATTGATTCTTGGGGTACTATCTGCGTGGACTGAAAAGATACAGAGGATATATAGATATCCCCATCTTCGCATGGGGTTCCTCCAGGTTCTCCGATTTCCTCCACAGAACAAAGACATACTCGAAGGTTAACTGGCTACTGGGAAAACAGGTGGCCCATTTACACGTCATACACTGATGTGTGTGTGCCCTGTGATAGGCTTGTGTCCCATTCAGTGAGTACCCTGCCTTGCGCCCAGTGCTTGCCAGGATAAGATCCACCTCCCCTGTGACCCAAAATAGGTGGAGGAACATTGTTTCAGGACGTTTTGAACCAAAGTCCTTGTTCAGCATTTTAGAAAGAAAGTTCGATGCAGAATTTTTGTGTGCAGCCAACAAAAAAATGTATTTTTATAGAATAATGTTCTTATTCTTCCACTTGCAAGCAGAGCACAGGTCCCGCCTGGCACCCAGGGCAAATCTCTGCAACACATCTGTGTCCTGTGAATGACCTCAAGGAGACAAACAATCACATAACCCGGAGCCAAAACCTGCCTCACAGGACTCCCAGAAACAAGGGGCTCCACACTGGGAAAACAAGAGCCTGACCGAGCGACGACTGGTTTCTGGTTACCTGCTGTGCTCTAGTTATGGATGTGGTCACTGCTGTGCTGCTCACCTGGCCTGTAGGTGTGCTCCAGCTTGGCCACCTGGGGGGTGATCAGCTTGGTCACCTCTTTCCGGACACTGTCCCGCCCACAATGCTCTCCCCCCGGGCGCTTCTCCAGCTTCTCGAAGTAGTTCTGGAAACCAAAACCACCCCCATTCGTTATCTCACCAATCGGCAAGCGCGATCCTTCGCTGCAGCACCAATAGATGCAGGAAGCTAGGGGTCAACAGCACAAGAGGCACAGACCCCTGTGCTCAGGAGGCCAGGAGGCCCAGTGGTTATTGATTACCATTGACTGACCTGGTCAGTGGTTATTTATCAGTAATCAATACCCTACTGATCACTAAGCTGGTACAGTTATTATTGGCCAGTACGGTATTGATTACTGATGACTGACCTGGTATACTTGATATTTATCACCAAGGTAACAGTAACTGATGACTGACCTGGTAGTAGTAGTCATCCAAATAGGGGTCAGTGCTCTGCAGCTGCATCATCTGTATACGTGCGACCCAATCCTTCTCCCGTGGGGTCATCAGGTTGCTGTAGGGGTCTCTGTCCCTTTCTCTGCGCCCCCTGTCACCCCCACGCTGAGCTCTGTCTCCCCGAGAGTGGTCACTAAGAGACATAGAGAGAGAGGCGTATGCACATAAGAAAGCTTGAAAACAACTTTGTAACTCACTTTACATTGTAAACTGCGGTTCTGCAGTCTCTGGGTCAGCTGACACCA